CTCTGACACTTACCATCAGAGGGAAAAAAATCAAATATAAAACTCTACAGACAACTCTGTCTCAATAAAGCTGGAAAACATCAGACAAAATCCTATAAAGAGAGGGCATGATTCGGTAACTTAGAACCTAGGAAGCGAATGAAGCTTATGGATCCATTGCAATCGCAACTACCAACTACACCAAAACGTGAAAAATTATTCCAAATATACGAAATGAGTAAGAATACAAAATTGTACGCACACCGTAATCCATACTTGTTGAAAGTATTTAGTCATATGGATGAAGATTGGACCCCATCAGGTAGAAAGGCACATGGGCAGTGGAATTATTCATCCCACAGTTCTTACAGAGGCCACCCCGTGCTGGGCGCTGTCCCAGGACAACATCTCCTGGTGAAGAGACAGGCAGCTCCCTGTGCGCATGGCAGGGGGTAGAGACCTCACGGGGATGACTTGCTATTTTGGACGTTGGGAGATGGTTCAAGTAACACTTTTCCTGGAGTTAGACATTCAGCATAGATGGCCCCTCCTTTGGGAAGTGTCCCTGCCTGCGGGAATGGGTCAGGCCCTCTGGACTTTTGCTCTGTCACAGTTGAACTCAACTCAGTTGAACTGAACCCCTGTTTGCCATCACCCGCACCCCTAACCCTCCCCCGCCCATCGCCCCTACTCCTCACACAAGCCGGGGGGAGTCTTAGTTGCCTTCAACCTCTAATCTATGGCTGGATCCCCCTCAAGTCAGTGGGGCAGGTATTGGATGAAGATGAGAGAGATTGCTGGGAGGCCCGACTATTGAAATCCACATGTTGACAAATCTCCGTGCAGCCCACACCCACCTTGGCCTGGAACAGCCAGACCTCTAGGTCAGGGACCCAAGTTAGACCTGGGCTTAGAGGCTTTACCAACAGCTGGCATGTTGGGAAGAGGGAAGCTTGCATGCAAGGCATTTCCCCATCACTGGACTGTGTCACATGTGCCCTTAGCTCCCTATAAAGGTCACTGCACCCTGCAGCCACCAGTTGTACTTGGCTCCAGGTGCCTCCCCATTTCGCCATGGCGCTGCCCTGGGCCCTCGCCGTCCTGAGCCTCCTTCCTCTGCTGGAAGCCAGGAGCCTGGGGTGTGCCAACTTCACAGCAGCGCCTATGACCAATGCCACCCTGGATCATGTGAGTGCTGGGCCCCAGGGGCAGCTGCCTCTCTCTCTGGGCTTCCCTCTCCCCTGCTGGCTTGTGGTCAACCCCCTCCCCTGACTCGGCCCTTTCCTCTCATGGCTCTGGGGGTGAAATTCTGACCAACCTCGCAACTCAGAAGCCTCGTTGTCAGGTCCCCAGCAGGGGACAATTCTGTCCTGGGCAAAGAGGGGTGACTGGGGTGGGGGGATGTCTGACCCTCAGCGTGAGCTTCTGCATGTCCTCTCCTCACCTGGGCCCCCATCCCCCTGTTTGCAAACTGGAGGGAGAGGTGTGCCAGAGTCTTGTCCCAGGGGACCATCGAGACTCCGGCTCCCAGCATCCTTCACCTGCTCCTGGCTTCTCCCCAGATCTCTGGCAAGTGGTTTTACATTGCGGGAGCCTCCCACAACCCTGAGTACCTTGAGGTTATGAAGACATATCAGGCATCCTACTTTTACTGTGACGCCAACCATACAGAGGACACGATACAGTTCAGGGAGTACTCGACCATGTGAGACCCCCACACGCCCAGCCCAGCCCCAGCTTCTGGCTTCTACCCTGAGCCGCCGGAGGACCTGGAGCAAGTCCTGTCCCCTTCCTGGCCTCGGCCTTCCCCTCCATGGAATGGGGAGGGCTGACCCAATTGCCAGCAGACTCCTGACCCCAGGTGGCTGTGATGGGCGATTGTCTCTCCTTGACCGACCTACTATTTTTCTGCCCCTTTTGTCTGGCTTTAGTGGGAACAAGTGTGTCTATAACTTCAGCATCTTGACTGTCCAGCGGGAGAATGGGACCATAACCACAAACGGTGAGGCCAGCCCTCGGGCACAGGGCTGCTGTGTGGAATGGGGAGGACGTGGGTCCCAGCCTACAGGAGGGGATGAGGCTAAAGCCCCGGGGGCCTTGGGCAGAGAGAATATGGGACAGGCCCACTTCTTCTTCTATCCGTGCTGCCAGCCCCTGCGCACTGCAATAATCAGTAATGACAGCCACCAGTTTCGAGTTCTGACTTTGTGCCCGGCACCCTGAAGCCCTTGACATGACTTAATCCACTTAATTCTCACAGACAGCCCTAGGAGGACATTCCAGGGATTGGATGAGGACACAGAAACACAGAGATGTCAGGTAGTTTCCCAAGGTCACACACTTGCCGTGAGAACTCGGATCAAACCCCAGGCTGGGTCCATCCCGCCTCTCTCTCACTGCTCTCTATCCTCTGGGAGCTCAGGTGGCAGCCTGCACGTTGGGCTGACAGTGACTTCACCCCTGTCCCCAACATCACCGCAGAGAGGGCACATAGTAGGAGCACACGGTGGCATTGGACGTGGACCCACAGGACGTAGCAGCCTGGGGGCTCCTCCCTGGGCATCATTTTCTCTGTCTGCAAAATGGGCAGAAAGTTGCTGACGGCCACAGTCCGCGTGCAGCTCCTGGGCTTCCACACGAGCACGGGGCTCCCTCAGGGCCTGGTGCACAGTAGGAGCCAGGGACATGGGGCCCATGTGAGCCCCTGGCTGTCACCCATGGGCCTTGTGGCCCTGGGCACACAAATGTCCTCGCCTGTGAGATAGGAACTGCAGTGCCACCCCACGGTCTCACCAGAGGCTTCCTCCTCCAGAGATGGGCAGAGAACACATTGGCCATGTTTGGTTCACCAAGGACCCCAGTATCATCCTGTTTGTCTACTTCCCGGATGATAAGCAGAAAATAGCACTGTTCTTCTGCGGTACGTGCCCCTCCAACACCCGGTCCACCCAGGCCTGACCCTGGGACCACCCGATCCTGGGGCTGGGCCCTCAGAACCCCAAGCTTCCCTGGCCTCCCACCCAGGGCTCCCAGCATCCTCACCATGTCCCATGCTCCCTCCTGCAGCGGACAAGGCGAACGTGACCGAGGAGCAGATGAGAGAGTTCCATGAAGCCATCGTGTGCGTGGGCATGGACAAGTCGGAAATCATGTACACCGACGAGAAACAGGTGAGTGCAAGGAGGGCTGGGCAGTGGGCACCCTGAGGGTGGTCCCGCCTGGGGCAGCCCCTGGGGCTCAGGGAGGCAAAGCGGCTGGCCAAGATGAGACACCTGTGACACCAGTCGCAAAAATACCTCCGCCATTGCTCCCGGGAACCATGGGAAAGGGCTGATGGACACAGGCGCTGGAAGTGGTCCCCTGGCCTGCAGCCTGCCGCTCCATCTCCTGGCTGGGGGACCTCGGAGGCCACACAGCCTCCAGGAGCCTCAGTTGGAACATCTGCACTATGGTGCTGAGGATTCAGGAGGTCAGCATGAGGGATGGGCGGGCATAAGTGCTCAGTAAACGCCAGCCTTTCCCAAGGGTTTGAGGTCCCATTTTAGAGGTGAATAAGCTGAGGCTCAGAGAGGGAAAGTGACTCGCCCAAGGTCACCCAGCTCGGAAGTAGCAGAGCCAGGTGGGCTGGACTGCAGTCCACAGGTCATTGCATCTTCCCCCAGGGACCCCTGCCGGCCCCGTCACTGTGCTCTCTCTCCCCATCTTCTAGGATCAGTGTGGGCCTCTGGAGAAGCAGCACGAGGAGGAAAGGAAGAAGAAACAGGAGGAGGCCTAGGAGGACGCAGCCCTGGGTTGGGGCCTCGGGGACTTGGGGGCGTCCTCAGCCCCCGTCCACCCTTTGTACCTCCATTCCTTCCCTCAGTGGCAACAATAAAGTTTCTGCCTTTGGGACGGGCAGTTGTCATTCAGTCATTCCGTCATTCGCTCCTTCATTCATTCATTCCCGTTGAAGCCTGCCCTGAGTTGAGCGCTGGCCGAGCACTGGACAAGGCCCTGCCCCTGGTTGGAAGGGCCCCCGCTGGAAGCCCCAGCACCCGTGCCAGGACAGATGACCACATGCCTGAGCGCTGTGGGAGCCCAGTTCGGAGACGGTTCTCCCTGTGTAGGGAAGTCTGGGTGGGCTGCCTGGAAGGGGCGTCTGAACCAGTGTGGAAAGATAGGAACTGGACACCACGTCTGTTCCTGCTGCGGCCCAAGGATCTGGGAGGGCGCGTTTGAGGAAATTGAGGCAGAGTACCCCATGTAGGGGTTCAGGTGGACGAGGGGCAGGGAGGACTCGGGCGTGTGGTCCGAGCAAGAGGGACATTACTGAGGACATCCCCTTGGCCCTGAGGGGAGACGAGGGGGCAGGGGCCGGACAGGAGGCAGGAAGGCGGACTGTGAGGAGCATCCTGGCAAGGGCCGGGGACTTGGCCAGCCTGGGGCAGACTCGGAGATGTGGGGGCTTGGGGCCTCGGCTAGAGGGGCCGTGTGTCTCCATGACACGTCCTAAGACACCTGCCTGACACCAGGAGGAGGACGCGACACCTATGGGTGAGGTCATCCCCTGGGAGCCAGGGCCCCTCCTCCCAGGCCCCCCCAGTCGAAAGGTTTATGGCTCTGAGACACGCCAATGGGGAAAGTAGGAGACACAGAAGCCACCAGAGGGAGGCAGGCGGAGTCAGGAAAGTGCACCCAGCAGGCCCCCTGGGGGGGAGGGGCCTTAGCGTCCAACCTCCCCCCTACAACTGACTTCAGGGACCACAAATTGAGGACACACACCACAGACCTGGGTGCCTTTGGCAATGTTGGCCCACTTCTTTTCTTTTTGAGATTGATTTTCATTCTCTTCATTTGCCATCGTAAAGAAAATAGATTTTTAAATGCCTCAAATATACAGATATCACTGATGCACACACATTCCAGAAGAGCTGAGGTACGCGTTGCTACAGGGTGGGGGCAGGACACGGCCTGGGAGGAGCTGCCCACTGGCCAGAGTCCCAGGGACCCCGGAGTAGAGCGGGGTCTCAGAGGAGGTGTGGGAGGGACCGTGGCGGCGGGCTTCCTGGGCCCTCCGTGGGTGTGTCTGTCCCTGGAGCCCCTGGGAAAGGCCTCGCCACCCACGGGGAGGCTGGGCGCACGTCACCCTCAGCTGTGCCATCCTACAATGGCCCAGTGGTCTCAAGGTGCCCCATGGGCCACCAGTCACCAGGGGAGGGTTCTCAGCCACGTCCGTCCCAGAGACGGCTGCTCCGGAGAGGCTGGTGACAGTTGGTGGCAGGTGTGCCCCAGAGCCCCTGGCCTCTCCCTTCTTCTCCGGCCTCCTACAGAGGATGCAAGACAGGAGCCCTCCTCAGTTTACAACATCTGTCCATCCGTCTATAAATCCATATTATTGGCTGGAGGAGGACAAGTGCAGGACGAGGAGCCCCCACGGTGGCGCCTGGACGGAGGGTAGCCTCGGTCCCAGCAGATGCTCCAGGGCTGGTCCCCTGGGCAGCCACTTCTCTTGATGACCAGCGTGTTGCCCCTTCTGGTCTGAGAACACTGAGGCTGAGCAGGCAGGGCCTGTGCTGGGGGGCCTCCTCCTGAGGGTCCCCGGGGCCTTCAGAAGGGGCTTCAGCTGACTCCTCGCCCAGAAACAGTGGCGGCCTGCACCCTGCCCCGTGGGTCCCTGGCTCCGAGTGGGGTAGAGGGGACAGGAGCCCCGCAGGCTGGGGGCCTGGCACAGCTCAGCCTCCAGGGCGCGGCTCAGCTGCCGGCTGCGGGAGCGCACGTGCATGGCCGCCCCGACGGCGCGGCTCAGGGCCTGGTGCAGGGCCTCCAGGTCCTCCAGGTCCAGCTGGACGGAGTGCCGGGGGCCCTGGGCCGGCTGGGCGGAGGAAGAGGAGTGCCACTCGGAGGCTGGTCGGGCTGAGGTAGGTCCTGGGGACGCGAAGAACCTGAGGAGAGAGGGCAGAGAGAGCGTCAGCCACAGAGAGGGCAGGGGCGCCAAGGAGCCGGGGTTTGGAGCCAACCGTCCTAAGGCCCTACTGGGCCTCTGATCCTGATGCTCTGGACCTCAGTTTCTCCACCTCTAAATAGGAAGAGTAAAGGCCTACTTGGAGGGATGTGTTAGAAAGATGAAGGAAGAAAACAGGCGTGTCTGACCCAGAACAGGGGCTCAGGAAGGAGTAGTTCAATCTGCCCATTCATTCAATATTTCCTCACCACAGAGCATGTGCCAGCCCCTGTGCTCGGCCCTGGGGTTCAATGTGGAAGGAACAACATGGACCCCGAGGCCTCCTTGGACCTTCTAATCCCAGAGCCAGATCTCAGGGAGACCAGGATCACCCCAGGCTCTGCAGAAAACCCCCTTCCTGGCAGAGGTCACATACGGGAGTCCCGCGTGCCAGTGGGGGCACTGGAACAATGAGAAAAGAACAGTTAGGGGCCTGCAGGAGGCGGCGGGTCTGGTCCACTCACCCGGGCCAGCAGGTGGAGAGGTCCCTGCCCAGCCTGGCCCTGCAGGACTTGGGCTGGTGGGTTAAAGTCTGAGGACCATGGGCCGATCTCATGAGATGCAGCACCCATTTTCTAGGGAGTGACTCCTGCATTCATTGGAGGCCACGCAGTGTAGGGTTCCTAGAAAGTGGTGATGGGCAAGAAGAGGGCGTGGCCCTGTGTCTGGAATAAAGTGTGGCAGGGAGACAGAGGGAAAAGAAGCAGCTTGCCCAAATAAAGCAGGAAGGAGGAGGGAGGACCTGGCTGGAGTCTTTCCCTGGCGTCTTGCCTGGCAGATGTGAACTCTGCTCTCATTGCTGACCCCCTACTCTCTAAGCTCCATTATGGACAGAGTGAGAAAGGGGCTTTGCTGGGATCTGAACATCGTCTCTCCAGAGAAGACACACAGATGGCCAGCAAGCACATGAACCGATGCTCCCCTCCAGCAGCAGGACCCTGGCGCAGGCTCTCCTCCTGCAAGGGCTCCAGTTCCCCACCGGAAACAGCCATATGGAGCTGCGTCCCCTGCCATATCCCACAGGATCATCTAGCTAACAGCTCTGTGCGGGGCCTGGCCACGGAAACGCTCTGTAAGTGCAGCCACTGAGGCCCATGACCGGAGGGCTGGGCGGGCAGGGCTGGGTCCACACCCGGAGCCACTGAGCTCCCAGGAGATGCTGATCCGAATCAGCTGAACCCAATAAACAGGCTTCTGAATCCTCCTCCCTCCTTCAGGGACTATGCGGGGTGAGTGCTGGGCTCCCACACACCCCGAACTTCTGAGAATTGGAGGACCAGCTCGGCCTGAAAGTTACCCAAAACTCCCCACGGGCAGAACTGAAAAAAAACAAGAACGAAAACACAAACAGCCAAACAGAAAACCAACAAAAAGCCATCCTGGCCTGAAAGCCTCCGACGCAGGCGCTGTGCGGCGGCCGACCAGCAGGGGGCAGCGCAGGCCCGGTCCGCTTCCTGAAGCGCAGGGCCGCGGCCACTGAGCATGCGCAGTCTGCTGATTGACAGCTGGAGACTCTCCTGGGCACAATCAGGGCCAATTTCAGCAGCCTCAGACGCGCTGTGGGTACCGGCCGCCCTCCGTGTACGACGGGCCCCCCAGACACTAGTTCACTTGATCCTCACTACAGCCCACTTCACAGAGGGGAAACTGAGGCCCAGAGGAGCAGTGTGACCCGTCCAAGGTGACAAGGCTCCTACTGGCGGTCTGTCAGGCACTAAGGACCAGGGCCTTTCCCCTCCCCGTGTCCGTCCAGGCCTGGGGACAGAAGACTGGCTAGTTGTGTCCACAGGCCTGAGACTCAAAGGACATGGAACGAAGGGGACAGACCCCTGGCTCCCACAGGCGCTCAGAGCTGCATCCTGGTCCCCAAATTCCAGCGAGACCGTCCTGCCCGATGAGCGGGGCACAGCGGGCATCTCCACGAGCTCCGCGCAGACCTGCGCATGCGCCTTGGCCTCACACAGAGGATGGAACTGGGGTTCCCTAAAGACCCGTCCCCAGTGGGCTGCAGGGCAGGGACCACCTTGGGGGCGGGAGTCCTCGTGGGGACTGAGCTTGGATGGGGCCATAGCCTCTGTTCCCACCCAGCAACCTCCATCACAGGGACGCTGGCCCCTCGCTGTCCTCAGACACAGGCCTCTGAGGACAGGCCATTGAAGAGGATGCCCCACGGATGCATTGATGCTGGACACTCCTTGTGTGTCCACTTTTCTGGCTCCATCTGGTGACACCTCTCTGTCCACGTTCCTGCACGTTCGGTGAGCAGAGCCGAATCTGAGGTTCACACACTCACACGCAGGGCCTCTGAGAAGCTGTTCGGAAACCCCAGCGACAATTTCTCCAGACAGAGACGAGGGTGCAGAGTAAGGAGGGCGTTGGCTCACGTTCCACTTGACACTTGGAGTTCGGCCCCCGCCTCGGCCCCTGGGCTGCCCTCCCTCCCCTCTCTGTCTGTGGAAACCCTAACTTCCCGTCCAGACCCGGGTTCTTCCTGCCCTGACTCAGCCCCTCGCTCCTGGGTCCCCCAAAACTTTCCCATCTTGTTCAAGCTCATGTCTCTACTCCCAGCAGAAGATGCTTGTCCCTCTGTCTCCCCACCAGATAGTGAGCCAGGGCTTCCCCATCTCACACCCCGGTACCCTACAGCTCAGAGATGCTCAGGAAATTCTACTGAAGGGACCCCCGGCTCCAGAGGAGCAAAGTGCAGGCCGTGCATGGGGAGAGGACGCGGAGAGGCCATGGGACTTCCCTCCACCACCGGAACGGGACCAGGCTGGGAGATGCTGGGGTGCCCTCTGCAAGGCTGCTGTCCTCCCGGTGGAGCCCCCAAAGCAGCCAGCCTGAGATGGGACCTCATGAGCTGCCAGCATCTGGCAGGAAATCCTGTCAGCATTTCTCTCCATCCCTCCCTGAAGCTCCAGAGTCTGGTTCTGAGGGCGTGGTGGGCATGGCGGCAGAGGATCCCCCTAAACCCCCCCATAAACGCCCTCCTCAGAGAGTGTCAGGGTGTGGGCCCGGCCTGGCTGTCCTCAGGCTGCGACAGGCTCTCCATCCACTCCTGGGCCAGCTGTTGGGCGAGGAGCCCCTCAGGGTGACTTCTTGCCTGGTGGCCCCTGGCCCGAGGGGTGAGTGTGTGCTGGCGCCACCTCCAGCTCTCGGATGAGTGCACAGAAGGAGCGGGGACCCCTTTCTGGCTCTGCCCCAGCACAGAGTCCAGGGTGGTGGTTCCCTGGGAACTCCCCAAGCGGGCACATGTTGGGGTTTCCCAGGTGAACTGTGGGGGCACTGGCTCTGGGGAGCTCCGTCCCCAGGTGACCCCTGGGAGGCAGGGCTGAGGCTGCATGCTGCCTGCAGACCCGGAGGGCAGCTCTGGTTCCTTTCTCAGGCCCAAGGCTGCTGAATGGGGCGGGGACTCGGAATCCCACTCGGGGGTCCCCTGCCGTCTCTGGGTTGTTTGTGTGAGAGTCTCAGTCTCTCTGACTTAATTCCTCAGTGGTTGAATGCCAGCTGGCCCTTCAAATGCTTCTTCCCTGCAAACTCACTCCCCTCCTGAGTTCCCATCTCTGGATCGGCGCCAACTGTTTGGTCAGCCAGAAATCTGAGTCGTTCTAGACCCTTCTCCTTCCCTGAGCACCCCAGAGAGTTAGCCAGCTCCCAAGTCCTGTGGGTCCAACGTCTAACATCTCTTCTCAGATGCACCCCCTCCCCACTGGTCCCTCATCCCTCCCGGGGTGAGGCAGGCTTCTCAGCAGTCTCTCGGCCTCTTTCCTCACCCTCCTGGTGGCCTGAGAGCTGGCTCTACAACGTACCCCGACCACACCCCTGCCTGCTGGGCACCCATCACTGTCCTCGGATGGGGCTGCAGGCATCCACGAACATTCCGTGAGCACCTTCTCTGAGCCCCGCCACCCTCGGGAGGCCTCCCCGACCACACGGTGCAAGAAATGGACTCACCATGGTATTGGGAAACAAGCTTGGATATTGCAAGAATTTGTTGGCTTTATGCTGAAAGGGAGAAACTGGGAAGTTAGTCACTTGTCCTTTCTCTGAGCCCTAAGTCTCCTCTGATGCTCCCTGAGCTCTGAAGCAGGTCCGTCTCCTGTGTCGGTAGCAGCATCCTCCACAAAGGCTCAGCACAGCCGGGGACAGCAGCCCGATGGTTCAGGGACCGAGTGCCAAATGCGAGGAACTGTTCCCCAGGGTGTGAACAGTGTTGGTTGTGAAAAAGGATGTTGAGGGCTGTGGGTCACTCTGTGTTGGTAGCAGACCCAGAACCCAAGTGACACAGGTGCTCACGTGTTCTTCAGTAAACTCTGCGTGTGTGTGTGTGTGTGTGTCTGTGTGTCTGTGTGTGATATGTGGGACCCTCTAAATTCTGGGCTCTGGGCAGGAGCCCGAATGGCCTAGGTCTCATGGAGGTGCTGTCCCACCCATCGCGCGGCTTCTCCTTGAAATAAAGTGTCTCGCGTGTGTCCCCCTCCCGACATCTCACACCTGGACCACTCCCGCAGCCTCCCGCTGCTCTCCGAGACCCTCTCCCGTCCTCTGTCCTCCCACCCTCCCCACTGCACACACAGGGATCCATCTACAGAACAAGCTGACTGTCCACCCCACACAGTCTTTCAGTTTCTCCTGAATTCCCCAGAGTGCACTGCGAACTCCTCAGCCTGGCTCCATGCCCTGCAGCCTCGGATCCCAGCAACCTCTCAGCATCTGCCCTGGTCCCTCCAACACCATCGCAGGCTCCAGCCACAGAGCCGTGCCAGGTCCTTCCTCCCCACATTCTCTCGTCTGCATTCTGCCCTCCTGAAGAACTACAACCATTTCTTCAAGACTCAGATTAGAGCAACGCAAATTCAAAACCCGACCTGAGCTGGCCAAAAAGAAAGTGAAAAAGGGAAGTTCCATCTCTGGCCGTCATGTGGAGAAAGAGACTCATTT